AAATTCAATCAGACGTGTCCAACAGCATGTACAAAGTAAATTAACTCACAACATAGAAACATATACTGCTAAATTATTATCTATACACATTTTTAGAAAAATCAATTAAATCTGCCTGAATGCTGAATATAAGATTGAACAATAGAGAAGAGATATTCATTTTCAGCAATACTGAGTGAGGTATCCCCCCAGAGTAAAGTATGAGTGTCAACAATATGAACTTTATTAAATCTCAAAAACTTATCGAAGAAATCTTTCCTGGCCTCAGTGTAATTAGGACATGAGAAAAAATAATGATGTGTGTCTTCTACCTTACCACAAGAGCATAATGGACTAGATATTATGTTACACCTATAAAGATCAATGTTTAGCACACAATTGTGTCGGAGTCTAGTGTGCAGTATATTGTAGCGTCTTTTTCCAAAACTGAAATAAGGCGGGGCTATTGTTATTTTTTGTGTGATTTTACTTTTAAAAGCAGATAAGGAGCTCGAGAGTCTGGTGTCTAGCGATAAAGAATTCCACTCGTTTACTACAGTTGGTACAAATGATGATTTGTATGTTTGCAGTCTACAGACGGGTATATTATAATTTTGAGAGTTTCTTGTTGTATACGCGGAAGCATTACATCGCATTTCAGGTATAATTTCACGTAGATAATCAGGAACTAAATTATTATGAATTTTATACATGGTATTCAATCTCTGAATCTTGCGTCTATCAATGAGCGGTTCCCAGCCTGTTTCAAAGTACAAAGAGTCTCTAGATGCAATTAAGGTCAAGCCAGTAACAATCCGCGCTGCGTGTAGTTGCAATTTCTCTAATTTTTCAGAGTCGATAGCTAGACAACCACCCCATACAACTGAAGCGTATTCGAGCTGAGGGCGGATAAATGAAGTATACATGAGTGAAAGAGTCTTTCGATTTATTTTAAATTTAAGTTTTTTTAATAGACCAATTTTTTTGAATGCATTAGACAGTAAGATTTCAATGTGAGTTGACCAACTTAAGTTATATGAAAAAGTTACCCCTAAATGTTTGTGAGTTTGAACATATTCTAATTGGCTATCTTGGAATAGGAGTTTGGGAGGTTCTATGTTTTTTCTTGTGCTAAAAAATACAACCTTAGTTTTGGATGGATTAAATTTTAGTAACCATTTGTTTGACCACTCTTCAAGAGATAAAAGATCATTATTCAGATTACTTTCTATAGATTTAACACATTTAGATGCGTACTGCAAACTGTTATCATCAGCGAATAATCTACAAAAGCTTGACATCTTGTCAGATACATCATTTACATAAATTAAAAATAATAATGGACCTAATACAGAACCTTGTGGAACGCCGGCATATAAGGAAGCCGAAGGGGATACCAAATTTTTGTAAATAACTCTTTGTGTTCTATTTTCTAAATAACTTTTTAACCAAAAGTACATATTACTCTCTATGCCATACATGTTTAGCTTGAACAAGAGCCCTTTGTGCCAGACACGGTCAAAGGCCTTAGATAAGTCACAAAAAATCATACAACTGGATTTACCATCATCAATATTTCTAACAATATTATCGTATGTTTCTAACAATTGATAAACCGTAGAATGACCAGGCAAGAAACCAGCCTGGTATTTGTAAAAAATATTATTACAATGAAAGTAGTTATACAAGTGTTTAAATACAATACGTTCCATGACTTTACCAACACAACTTAACAATGAAATAGGTCTATAGTTTGACAAAACAGCTGGATCGTCTTTTTTAAAGAGAGGAATAACATTAGCTAATTTCCATTTTTGAGGAGGGGTATACTGTAAATTAGCTAAACGTTTGTTTTCTAATGTAAAGTATACATTTATACAGGCAAAATTATTTGGGGCACCCCTTCCGATTCCTACGGACCTGTTTACCAAAAAAAAAAAAAAAAAAATACCGTAAAAATAAAAATTATTCAGAGAAAAAAAAAATAGATCCATGATTTCAATGAGATATTAGTGAACAAATTACAAATTTTTATAATAATAGTAACTATCCAGTCACTATCAAAATTAATGTGTCGCTTAGTGTTTGTGTACAAGATGCAGATGTCCGTCTTCATCATTAACTTCAGTTTTACACAGGTACTTGTGGACAGGATCCTCCCTCCCCGAATATACCCCCGGGTCAAAAAATATTTTTATGTCTCATACCCGCGGTACTCTATTTTATAATAATGCGGGTATGATTTTTTAGTAAACGTTAATTCTGTGTTATTTTTTGTGGATTTTTCATATGGAATACATCGTAAATGTGTACTAGAAGAATAGTTTATGAAAAAAAGACATAAAAATATTTTTGACCCGGGGGTGTATTCGGGGGGGGGGGGGGTCCTGTCCACCAGTACCTATGCAGTTTTATACCAAGTTCAAGTCATATTTAGAAATTCGTTTTAAATACCAAATGTACAATCCAATCGGATTCGATTCGGCAGGGTGTAAGAAAATGTCACTCTTGTAATTAGTGAGAAGTGTACATGTTTCTTTCTCTAACCGTCTATAACTCGTCATTTTTCCCGGATTTTTTTCTTTAAGTCTTAAATATTGCTCCTCAAAAAAAAAAAAAAAAAAAAAAAAAAAAAAAAAAAAAAATCCTTCACAGACTTTGTGCTTGGTAATTTAATGAAAAAAGATGTATGTATGTACTAAAAATTATCTGTAAAGATTAAAGATCTGTAAGTTGGTTAAGTTTGTGTGTAAACAGTGTCAAAGAAATGCAATACATACGCTAGGAAAAGAATTAAATATAAGGCCAAAATAAAAAATACCTTTGTTTCCCCTAACGCGCTTAAATCGTGCCGACTGAAAAGTTTTTTTAATAAGATTATTTAAATATTTTTTTTTATTGTTTATCAACTTTATAAAATACAATTTCATCAAAATCCATTTTTTATCAGAACGGTGGCTTTTGTTTTACTCTCATTTGGCGCCCACAACATGTGGCCACAGAGGGTTAGTTTGTGTTATAAAGCAATGGTGACGCATCAATCTTATTATATATACATGTATCTTTAACTGTTAGAATCCTACACTCTTGAGACATTTCGTGAATTAAATGTACCATGACTAAGGAGTGTTAAGATGGTATTTACAAATGTGTCTTCTAAAATTAACGTAAGCATGGCAAACCCTGCATCATGAGCAGATGAGGGGCCCACCTTGTGTATACATATAAATAAATTTCACTGCATTTCATTCGTTTCGATCTAATAAACAGTTCATGTATGATCCTATTTTTACTATATAGGACCATAGGAGTTGTAAATATGTCTTTGTATGATTATTTCATCTTGATAAATATAATTCAGATGTCGTTTCTTCATTCCTTTTATCTATGGGGTATTAACTTCGTGACTATAACATTAGATATATCAAACTTTAATAATCATTTTAAATACATGGTTTGGTTGAATTAAATAGTGTTTATACATGTACACTCTTTCCAAATAGTGTTGAAATCTTTAAAATTTGCTCATGGTACGGCTTCCTGAGATGTCCAGTGTATTTCTTTTCAGTTTGGCCCTTGAAATCAGGTTGTTTCTTTGCTTTAAAATATCTTTAAAAATTGTTGGGCCGGTGGAGGGCTCCTAATTTAGACTTTTACTCGGCACTTATGGCCATTGATCATTAGGCATCAGTAAGGGATCTTTTTCGTGCCAACATCTATATGTGTACTGCGACACTGGACCTGCGTTTTTTACGGTCTCATTCGACTGACCATTCTCCACGTCCCTCGTCGGGACCTGTGACTTAGAATAAGCTCCTGAATTACGTTGTGACTCCAAAATGAAACGCTAGAATCACTGCACCACGCGAGGCCCTAGACAATTTTGTCTGTGTAAGTACTTGAAGATGATAGTAGGTTTGAAAAATATACTCGGATGTCCGATGGTTTAGTATTTGCGAATCTTGTCTTTTTGTAAATATTCAATTTCAATAAATTTACGCTGGCCTGAGATATTTCACAAGATCAAATGAATAATATTTGTGAATTAATTTAACTTACATGTTGCTTCATTTGTATGATATTCGGTTTAAAAATTGGTTTCTTTTGTTCTTTCTTATTCATAATGATATTATTCAATTTTTTAGAATGTATTTCCAAAGCTGCTGTCACAAAAAAAAAAAATAATAATTTACCTACCTACCTAACCAACTTGAGATTTTTGGGTCGGGTTAGGGGAAACAAAGATATTTTTAGTGATGGCCTAAAGCTCTTGACTTTGAATCTTGAATCAAACTTTGAAAGGAAAAAAAAATTCTATATGTTCTTTATTACTGTTTAACCAGGTTAATGATCGACACAATTAAGTAAATTACCAAAGATAAATCGGTTACACTGAATAGATTATATGTAACTGGAGCTATTCAGGGCTTTCTTTGTAAAGTTGTGTAAGATAAAATAGGAGCTTGACACGAACAACGAACCCAAAAAAGTAATAGACAACATAAAGAAAATTACCTTTATCAAGTCAGCAAAAAAATTTTTTTTGTCCTAAAATATATTTTTCTTATACATTGAATTAGACAATGTGCTTTAATATCATTTAAATGCCTGACCTTGGGGATTTACCCAGACACCTACGTATCATGTGTGTTAAATATACTTAAAACTTAAATACAAAAGAAAGAATGTCATTGATTCCATATAACAAAGTGATGATTCACTTCAAAATAAAAAAAAAATACGACCAATTTGGCAAACTGACACAGTTTTAAGAGCATTCACAAAGGAAACATTTACCGATTTGGTGACATGATTCACCCCTTTGGTTAGTTTATGCGGGGTATAATACGAGTGGGAGGCAGAGACCCCCATGTCCATGGCTGACCGCCAACCCCAAATCATGAAAACCGTAAGCACCCGATTTTCTCAATCAGACATGTTAGAACTCTGAGGGAGAAGGATCGCGTACCGTGTTACATTGCGCTGTACCACGCTGTGACAGCATTAGATGTTCAGGCCTCGGTTCTGTCAATACACGTATACAGATTGAATTAAAACCCGGTCTGTTCTCGGATATCAAGATTTCCAGCCGATTAAACTCGAACAACCATCGATCAAGTTTTTCCCCTAACGGTACTGTTTATCCTGCGCAGTGAACGTTAACAGGATTACCTTGCCGTGTTTAGACAGACCGCAAAACCTTTCCACATGAGTGCCACGCTATTTCAGGCTTATCCAGACCTGCTCGGCCGGTATGCTAATTGTCAGAACATAAACACGATACACAGTATGGCGAAAGACATGGGCTCTCTCCCAGTGGCCGTCTGGGACAGCCAGGCCCTGACCCTCAGGGATGTACTTATGCAGGTGGATGTCCCCACTCTAGGAAAAATCGTAAAAGGGCAGTTTATGAACTTGGGAGTTTCCAAAATTCCATTCAGGAACTTACAACAAGAGGTATTGATTCATTCTATCAAAACAAACATAAAAGTGTTGTCCCACAGTGTTCAGCGTATTGATGGTCGGGACGGACGGTTACGGCTTCATCCTCTAGAACAGAGGCTGTCGATCCCTATCACATATCAGGGATGGTTCGAACTACTGTCCGAAGACGGCCGATCGGCCCGGCCAATTGATAGTGTGATGAACTTGGCCAAAGTGAGACCGAATCGGTGTCTTGTAAGACAAAATATTAAGGCATTTATGTCCAGCGAGGACGGACAGATGACGTATGATAAATCAAAGATAGTGCCGAGTGGGGAATCTTTGACCATTATGGGTGACGTCACAGTGAAAGCACCGACAGGAGAACGGCGTAAGGTTTTAAAATGTCGAGATTCTAAAGGTGTTATTCTGTTCTTTGATTTGGAACAAAGAGGACTCTTTACCCCCATCGCGGGCCCTCAGGATGTGACTGGTGTAATGACCATTAAAGACATTATTGGGCGTTTCCGTCTGCCCCTCACTGTCAAGTTAGTCCAGGGCGTGTGGCCCAAAGTGGACACTAACCGCTTCACAGGGATCGTCCGTCTAGATTGGGTTTACACGGACGAAGTGGCGTTCCTGTGTCCATTGGATCGTGGTATGTTCCGGATCACACCCGTCCCTACCGAGGTGCTAATGAAAGTCTTGCCAGCAGTAAACTCCACAGAGATTCTTGAGAATCAGACAATTAAAGACATAATTACAAAGGTAAACAGAATGGTGGCCAACTATAACAATACCATACATCTTATTTTAGCAGTTCCGGAAGCTGCCATGGTTAAAAATAAGTCTCACCAAATGGCCAACATGTTCTCACCAAAGGAAAGTGCGAATGGTCATTCACGTGTAAAGCGATCGAAAAGTCGCGAGGATGTCCTAATGAACGATGTGGATGAGCTGTATCAATATCTACGTGATGGGAAAATGCCTCCAAAAGAAAAATTTCATTACGACTCAGATGAAGAGAGCTTTTTTGAAGAGCCTGCTTATGAGAAGTTAGACGACTTCCGGTCCAGATTAGAACGCTTGGAGCGGGGTGAACCCGCAAATCAGAGCAGTCGTTATCGCCCGGCAGACCTTGCCAAACTTGGTCTACATAAGGGTACTGAAAATCTTAGATCCGTCGATGAAGTGAACGGAAATAAACCCACCACTCCCCCTGAGGCCCCTCCACCCGTTCCACCGCGGAGGTATACAAGAGCCGATTCCGCACCGACGATTAAGTTGAGTCAGGTCCAGAAATCTAGTCCTCAGAAGACCGAGTCCTCTAGCGGCTCGAGTCGGGGAGGGGGAAGTAAAAAAGACACAAAACAGACTAGCAATAAAACTTCCTCACATTCATCAGGGAAGAGACATTCTGTACACACGTTCTATTTATAGATTTGATATACAGTGATATTTAGCAAGTGCCAAGTTTTCTTTTGTAGCTTTTCACAAAAGCTCTCAAAGGATCATATTAGCATTTATTTTTTAATGAATTTTCAGTGATATTTTTTTTAAGGATTTGAAAATCGCACAAAAATGATTAATAAATTTTATGAAAGTCTTTGTATCATGGAAGTGTTGCTTATATGCGTTGTTTAGTCAAACGTTTTCATTATAATGTGATAGTGAGGTAGATTTTAACTCCAAGAAATCGAAGGGAAATCCTTTATAGGATATTTTCTTCTAGATGTGGTGTGCGATATACCTCCTCTTTTTGCGGTTTTAATATTTTCTAATTTATCAGTTTGTGATAATTAGCCGATTTCATTACAAAGTGAATTTCCCGTGCATACCTGTCATTATTTATTTATTTCAGACTAATGTCAACTGCACCTCTTAAACATGTTCTTTTTAATTACAAAACATTTGGTTAATGTTGAACGTCAAGCTGCATGATTTTATACCTGTATTTTTACCTGAGTATTTTATTAATGTCTTTTATGGTCGCTGATTCTAAAGATAAAAGGAAAATGACATGCTTCAGCTCGCCTACGTCAGTTGAATACATATAAGTAACACGGTGTTGTTGTTTTAAACTTGACACAAAGAAATTCAACCTCTTTTGTTTATTCTTAAGATTTTTTTGCTTTTTGTAAAGATGAATTTTGGTTTATGTCCGCCAGCAGACCTGCTTTATTTTCAGAGCTCGGTCATTAAATCAAATGTGTAAGGTTTTTTAGTCGACGGAGAAAAAGCATTCATTACCAGATACAAAATAATCGAAAACGTAATGGCAGATTTTATTAATATTTATACCTATGGCTGCGTATTTTCTTTATGGATGATGATGGATTTATTATGGACGAGGATTTATGATTATTGATCCAGTGTTAGACTGATTTTATCTCGAGAAGAAACAGTAAACTCTGTGTTCTTACTAGAGCAACCACATCCAAACGCAGGATTAAATAAAAGAAGCGTATAAAGCTCATTAAACCATTTGTCACAGAGCTCTTATGCACATTTTCACTTATTTCTTTTTCACTTTGAAAATTATTTTGTACTCTATATATGACTACGCAACATTTCTCATGAAAAAGCCCAAATATTTTCTAATGTTTGATTATTATATACTATGTATATTTTCCCCAAAATCTCTGTTAAAAGAATTTTGACACACCTTGGCATTTACATTTCAACCTGCAGATATGATTTTTAATAAAATATCATTAAATCTGCTGATTACTCAAGAAAAAGCAATAGACCTGTATCCATTAACTATCACTACTGTGCATGGGATCAGTTTCAATTGATTCCTGATTAACAGAGAAATAACATTACAGTGTACGTTATTTATGCCGTATTATTATAGAGAATCAATATATAACGATTTCCTATAAATAATTTTTGTATCCAATGCCATTCGCTATAATTGATACCTCAGTCAGGTTTCTAAACAAAAAATGCTTCCAAGAGATGTCTTCTCGATTTCTATTTAAAGATGTCTATTCTAATGATTTCGTCCAATAAAAGAAAAATACAGAAGTTACCGACTATATAGAAAAAAAGTTTCAAGGCGCCAATAGTACTTAGCACTACCGACTATATAGAAAAAAAGTTACAAGGCGCCAATAGTACTTAGCGCTACCGACTATATAGAAAAAAAGTTACAAGGCGCCAATAGAACGTAGCGCTACCGACTATATAGGGAAAAAGTTACAAGGCGCCAATAGAACTTAGCGCTACCGACTATATAGAAAAAAAGTTAAAAGGCGCCAATAGTACTTAGCGCTACCGACTATATAGAAAAAGTTACAAGGCGCCTGTAGAACTTAGCACTACCGACTATATAGGAAAAAAAGTTACAAGGCGCCAATAGTACTTAGCACTACCGACTATATAGAAAAAAAGTTACAAGGCGCCAGTAGAACTTAGCGCTACCGACTATATAGAAAAAAAGTTACAAGGCGCCAATAGAACTTAGCGCTACCGACTATATTGAGAATGTTAGGACACTTCAGTAGTACTCAGGGCTACCATAATAAAAAAAAACCCGACACCTTTATAGTACGTAGCGCTAATGATTTTGTTTTGTAGAAAAAATGTGACATGTCAATAGTACTTAGCACTATCGACTGTATAGAAAAAGTTACAATACTTCAATAGTACTAAGCGCTACCGATTTTTTTTTAAATATTGCCGTTTTATGAACAGTCCACTAGCGAATTCATATTTTCGTTATATGACGTCTCAGAGTCATTTGGCGATATTTAGTACTCGCGTAAAACAATGAAAATAAATTAATAGAAAAAAAAAAAATAAAGTGAAAAGAATTTCAGAATTAAAAAAAAGAAGAAGCAAAATCGGATAATTTTAATAGGTGCTGCAATAGAATACATCAACTCAAACAAAATGAATAGGAGACAAATTCTCTAAAGTAGAATATTAAGCTCCAGAGCTCATATCAGTTAACTCTGTGTCATGTCAAAAGTATATAAAGTAAACCCCAACTGAACATTTTGGGGACGTATTTTTTGGGTATGTTTTCTTTTACTGCAACCTTCCTCAAAACTTCCGTACATCATAAAAAGCATGGAGACTGTGAACTTTGTCAAATGGTAGCTGTAATAACAATGTAATGATTTGGAACTAAATAATATGGCTGAAATATTGCCGACTCGGCGTTAAACAATAATAATCATAATCACTGGCAGAAAATCAGTCAAATGAATTATATATAACGTGTTACTTCCATTACTATATTATGGAGAAACAGTAAAATCTCATGCTGGGAATATTGATATTTTCTCAAATGAAAGTGCTTTGACCTGGACTCATTAGGAAAAACTCACAATTTTCACAAAAGTGGAAGGGATGTAACTTTGCCATGTAAAAAACGCCAGACGCTCGTTTTTGCAAAATGGTGTAATGGAGGTCATACGAGGAAAGTCAAAATCGCAGGAAAGATTTGGAAGTGTAAAAGTTATGTCAGGTTCCTAAGTTTGTAATGGAGAAAGATTGTTAGAAGACAGATTTAAGACAGATAGATTATGACCCGATGATGCCTTATTATATCGATTAAAGGTCAGTTGGATAAGCTCAAGGAGGGATGTAAGTGCAAATTTCCATCTACAAGGCCCATAATTTTGTAACGGAGAAACAGGTAAAAAAAAAAGGTAGTAATTGATACATGTTTAACTTGCATGATCATGCCAGGACCCTTAGGTAAGGTCACTCAAGTTAATTGAAACCACGGAGTCTGACACCACCGCTTCATATTTGGATATTTTCTGGAGAAAGACATTGATGGTAAAGCAACAATTAAGCTTTATGATAAACGTGACAACTTCAACCTCAACTACTCTTATTTAAGTAGCAATATACCACTGTCAACTACATATGAGCTCGAGGTTTACGTCTCACAGTTGATTCAATAGGCAGGAACATGATCTTCGTATGAACAATTCCTAAAATGAGACAGGCTACTGACAAACAAATTGAGATACAAGGGTATCTACAATCTCGTTTGAGGTCAACATTTGCCAGTTTCTATTGATTCTGTTGATTTGCTTGCATTTTGATGCTATAGAACACAATTTTGTGATTTTAAATTACATGTACTTTGGTTGCTATTTGCACAACATATTTCATCGAACAATGAAAGGAACCAGTTAGCCAAAAAATTTAAGCCACATATAGAAATATTGTTTTACAATTTTAATTTCATTATTATTCATTATTATTGTGCAAGAAGTCTACCCTCGATGATTGTATATAAATTCTCAAACACGCACTGCTTTGAATGTACTATAGGATACACTCAAAGCCAGCTCTAGTTAGGGGCAATATTTGTCTCAATTGCAACTCTGCAATATTTGGAAACATTTTGTGTTTTCATTATCAAGTGAAGAAAAATAAATTACATGGTAGGTCCTCTGTTAGTTGAGTTGTATATCATATCTATATTCATTCATGGCACCTGATCCCGCCTCTGATATTTTTAGAGGTCCGTATTTGAATGGACTGTGAGCTTCAATACTGTTCATTATCTCCATATTTCATCTACTTATGAGTGAAATTGTATTTCACATGTCCTATTATTGTATTGCATGGAAGGTACTCTATTACTAGAAGCGAACGTATCAGATCCATTGCTAGTTATACAGTTTATGCCAGGTACTCTATTACAGCAACTGTATTTTATTCCTTCTCTTAAATCAATTGATCACCAGAATTTTGTATATTTAAGTTTTATTTCAGGTTTTCATCTACTTAAATGTATGTCAGTTATAGCCAGTCAAGTCTCTCAATATAAAGGAAAAAAAACACAAACAACAACAACAACAAAATATCAACTAAACAAGGAAACAAATAAAACTATACAAAGACTACTAGACTGAGTCAACTATAGCTTGTTTTTTAGGTTTAAATATGTGTAAAAATTATCAATTATTACACTTAAGTAAAAAAAAAAACAAGTATCGAGAATTTCCAGTCTGAAGAAGATTGACATATTTATTAGTATAAAAAAGTTCCTATAATGATCTCAAATTTCAAGTAAAAGATAAAGGTAGGGGTAAACAACTATTGATTTAAAATTGCAAATAATCAAGAGAAATCATCTATAGAAAAACGCTTCTTTATTTTTCAGTGTTTATTATTTAGTGACAATAACATCGTAAAAACCGACAATCATATATTTGATTTGGGTAGCAGTCATCTCTGCAGTTACGATCAAACAAACACCCTAAAAAATATACGTAATGAATCATAGTTAGTAATTTGTTTATAACTTTGACCCTTGCAATAAAAATTACTGTTGCAAACGATTCTTGGACCTATAGGTCAACATATATACATAATTCTGTCCTGGATCAGATTGATTTTCATTTCCTAATGAGTCAAATTTTGCTTGTTGTTAGGTTTAAATATGTTTAAAATTATCAATTATCAATGATTACACTTAGGTAAAAAAAAAAACCCAGGTATAAAGTATTTCTAGTCTGAAGAAGATTAATATATTTATTAGTATAAAAAATGTTCCTATAATGATCTCTCTTTCTCCCTTTCTTTCTTTCTTTCTCTCTCTCTCTAGGGTCTGAGTCTTTATTTCAAGTTCTACCTTCTTTGACTTACTAATCACAGAGTTTCAGAATTAAAAAAAAATTCAATGGCAATATCAGATGTAAACAATATTAGTTGGCAGTAGCATCTTTTTAGAGAACTGGTAAGGCACAGCCTACATTCACTATGCCTCTCCGCTATAGAGAATATTGGCAGTGGCAATAAGTAGTTTGCACTTGGCTGCCGTACATGGAATTAATAAGTACTTACTCAGTAGTCACAGTGTTTGGTTGACTTGTAAACTGAAAAGTACTCACATGTCCCCACTTTGCAGGTACATTGTCTTCGTGAGCAAGCTACCATCTGACCACTTGGACAGCTGACCTTCCCGCTACATTGACCATCATTCGTACAGTTGTAGCAGGAGGCTGTAAAGTAAAGACAAGTTTCAAAGAGATTTGACAACGATAATGCAAAGGTACTTACAATTGTTTTAATGCGATAAAAATGATATAATTGACTAAAAATGAACCTAGAAAGTGACATTGTATCCTTTTTTTAATTTACTGAATTTAATCATTTTTGCACAATGACATACCTGCAGCATGTAGATATTTTAAAGATACCGATAATCTGGAACCAGAAAAAGTACCTTTATCCAGACTGAGAACAAAAATACCCCTCCTCAGATTTTGCAGTATAAACCAAAACCAACGGAAATATCATGTTTTTTTCCTTTCTTGACGCTAACCCGTGAAAGTCAATAGTAGTAAAAAACTATATGTACTCTAGAACATTTAAATTAAAAACTTTTATAATTTGTATTGTTTCAATGGACTTTTGAGCTTGATTAATGTTCGTCATTCTATATTTTATGTTATATGTGCTTGGAAACCTTTGAAATATTTGTTTTAGTGCTCAGAAATAAAACCTAACTCACCTTAACAAAAAGTCCAATGAATACCAAGTGTTTAACTAGTACGCTCATGCTGTATAGTCTTTTTATCTCTGTACCTATCTGCTGCGTATCTATAATTAAACGTCTATATAAGCTAGGCTACCAGGATATATTTTGAACATGTAAACGTGGACATATGCTGACGTAGTGTATTATTACATAAAACATGTTTTTAACCTTCGCTTTGAACAGGATTCTGTAAGTAATCAGATCTTTTTTTCATTAAAATCCTTGAAAGTGTATACGATGCATGCATTCTGGATGTTTACTCGGAGTTTTGGTTGACAGAAACGGATTGCTCTGTATATATTAATAAAGTACAATATCTTTAATCAAACATTGTTCTAAATGGATAAAATAACCATGTCATAAACCAATATCAAAAGTTTTACTATTTGAAGAAAATATGCAAGAACAAAGGTAAATTTATGGATGTGCAGAGAAAACTGGGATAAAATTTTAATTTTTTAAATTTTTTTTTAATTTTTTGGGCCAATATAATTCTGAAAGTTAAGAATCTACGTGTTTTTTAAATATCATTTTGCAGATAATATGTGTATTAAAGCTCAGGTATCTTCTCAAATAATTGAATGGTATGTAAGGAGGAATGTCAAAAATATAAATAAAAACCATTCCAGACAGCATATTTCAAGAATTTGATCATTGCCCGCATTATGAAATATGGAGATAACGAACAATATTCAATCTCATAGTTCATTTAAACAATACAGATCGGGAGCAGAGCAAACACGGATCTCCAAAAGCTTAAGAGTCGGGATCAGGTGCCATGGATGAGTAAGCGGAAAAATCCGTAGAAATTTCAGTGTATAAATAATGGCCTAACAATTAGTATGGAAAACTTCAGACAGCATTTGACCTAATGATAGATTGCATTTGCTGATAAAGTTATTGTATCGACCATAGAACAATGGTAACTTCAAACGAGACTGTTGATATCCTTGTTTCATCAATTTGGTGGTTAATAGCTTGCCTCGTTTTAAAAATTGATCGTACGTAGAGCATGCTCTTGCGTATCGAATCAACTGGGAGACCTAAACCTTGACAGCAAAGGCAATTTATCTTTGAGTCAAATGCTGACTGACTTTTTTTCATACTAATTGTTAGGTCATTATTTACACTCTGAATTGTCGACGGATTTTTCCGTTATTTCCCGATCATGACAAGGAGCACACAGCGGGTGTGACCGGTCGGCAGGGGATGCTCACTCCTCCATGGCACCTGATCCCACCTTTGATGTTTTGGAGGTCCGTGTTTGCTCTGCTCCTATTTTGTATTGTTTAATGAACTTCTGAGCTTGAATACTGTTCGTTATCTCCATATATTTCACCTAAACCCATATGCAGGTGATAAGGGATATTGGTACATTAATAAGGGAAGCTGACGATGGAAAAGTTGAAGTCATGACATTTATCATAAAGTTTTGTTGTTAGGTTACCATTAACGTCTTTTTCTAGTAGAATATCCAAATATGAAACAGATTCTGTGGTGTCTTTTATTTCAAGTTCGCTTGGATATACTAGTATCGCATCGACATATGAATGGAAATAACTATTGTTAATTGATAAAGCGTCAATATATCTAAACGTCGAGTTGAAGGCCAAAGTCATTGACCTATTTATCTGAAAATGAATAATGACTAGAATCACAGGTCTACAATGTACAATTCCTATCACTGTTTTTTTGTCATCTGAGTAAACGTTATCCTCAAAAAATATATTGTTACACGGTAATTCACTGGTCAACTATGTACTGAGCATACAACATCTCCCGAATAAAAGTGAAATTAATGCCATAAAAAATTATATTTGGATTAATTTCAGTAATATGTGTATGAAGTTTGATGGAATGAAATATATGGAGACAACGAACAGTATTCAAGCTCAGAAGTCCATTATACAATACAAAATAGGAGCAGAGCAAACACGGACCTCCAAACATCAGAGGTGGGATCAGGTGCCATGGAGGAGTGAGCATCCCCTGCCGACCGGTCACACCCGCCGTGTGCTCCTTGTCATGATCGGGAAATAACGGAAAAATCCGTCGACAATTCAGTGTGTAAATAACGGCCTAACAATTAGTATGAAAAAAGTCAGTCAGCATTTGACTCAATGATAAATTGTATTTGCTGATAAGGTCATTGTATCAACCATAGAACTTACGAAATGATGACTTTAAACGAGACAGCTGATATTCTTGTTTCATCAACTTATTTGTCAATAATTTACCTCGTTTTAGAAATTGTACATACGTAGAGCATGCTCTTGCGTATCGAATCAACTGAGAGATATATACCCCGTATGCAGGTGATGAAGGTATATTGCTGCATAAGTAAGGGAAGTTGACGATTGAAAAGTTAAAGTCATCACGTTTATCATAAAGCTTGGTTGTTAGATTACCATTAACGTCTTTTTCAAGTAAAATATCCAAATATGAAACAGATATGTCAGACTCTGTGGTATCTTTTATCTCAAGTTCACCAGGATATATCGTATCGACATAAGATATCGTAAAACTTTTTTCTGAGATTTGGCTACACGCAAATCAGACAATGCGAGTTCATGTTCATAGGAAATGTCATGGTCAGAAAATCCTGGCAGAAAAGTGAGTTCCGAATCATAAGAAAGGTCAAGGTCGTAAAATTCTGACACCGATGAATTTCCGCTCAGTTGTAGACAAATACTCTATATACATTAACATATCAATTCTCTGGGACTACTTTCCCTACAATTTTTTATCTGTAGAGTAACGTAATACTGATTGCCTGGTGCTTGCAAAGATACATGATTCAAGATATTTTCAAACTCTATGCATTTACATACATATCGAACATAACTAAAAAGTGTTATTGACGGATTGACTGACGGAAAGATGGATGAAAAAGAGACAGCTAATGTCAAGTAAGTGTCCCGGCCATTCTCGTATACATGGCAGGGAAATATTACACAAAATAGGTCCTTTATTAGTTGAGCCGTATACGTTAGATAGTAAAATTATACATCCATTATTTATTTGCATGGTAGGTCCTCCGTCAGATCGCATGTTCTTTTTAAGTTGAGCTTAGCTGTATGTTAGATCTAATGTGAGTTATACAGTATGTAGCTATACAGTATTTAGCTCAAAGTATCTGTAACCGGTTCTTGTAGAAATTAAAAATAACTGCAAGATGGTATATAGGGTTGGATTCTTAGTATTTATTCCGTGGAGATATATAGTTGATTTCAAGATGAAATAAATGTTTTAAATCAACCCTAAAATAACAATAACAACATATAAATACATAGACAACATATAAACAAGCACATTCACTTTACAACACAAAACGATCACAATTTAAACACATAAAACATTCATTTAGGCCATTACTTTACACTTTATATAAACGCATTCATAGGGCGATAACTCTTTGAAACTCTTACTGAATTAATGATGTAAATTATATTTCTCTATACTGAAATATTTACAATACTTTAAAAATATGAGTTTAACATACCAGTGTATGGAACTGAGTGATTTATCTCTTGATCATGCAGGATGACTTTAAGAGTTATTACATGATGACCTAATGGATTAATAAATTACAAAATCATAATAATTCAAACCCAGATCTTAATTCCAAAGATCTACATGAATTAGATTAAAACATAACTTGCTCTTACTTTACAATATCAATCTTAACTTTAATAACTTTAGAACTTTCACTCTAGCACATTCATACTCATTTAGCAAGTTTATATTAAAATACTTTATTATTTCATTCATTACCTTTAATTTTAGTTTATGATCATTTAATTAGTTTAAGAAAAGGATTTACTTACTATTTATAGATATCTAATTTATCCAATATATATATAAATCAAATTTTAACAGACAACCAGATCTCTACATCCTTCTCAGACAAAAATCTCCGAATAGAATCATAAAACAAAGGTTTCCCGCCTGAATGAACAACTTTGACCAAACAATACCAACTGACCAATAGAATGTAGGAAAACAGACAATACCCTTATTTATAAATGGACTAATCCTTATATCTACCTTAACCCATAGTCTTTGGGTTAAACCATTATTTAAATAGGGATGTTTATGATTTAAACATATAAATAAATAATATATTAGTAATGCAGGCGCAGGGCTTGTATAGATGTATGGATGAATGAATGAATGAAATTCCTGAAATAAAATATATAGCATTAATTAAAATAAAATAAAACTAAGTACAACTACCACATATCGACACACATCATTAAAAACAACAAAAACAGAAAATTCTTTATCTCTAATAAAAGACAAGGAGAAGGGTATACTACTATTAATTGGATTTATTAGACATCGGAAATAAATAAGAAAACTCAAGTATGATTTTTTTATTGTTCAGTATATGTTTTTTGGTTAATGACAAAAACATCGTAATGACCGACAATCATATATCTGAGATTCGTAGCAGACGCCTTTGCAGTTACTATCAATCGAGCAATCTAAATCAAAATCATACACCAATGTTAATCATGCAGGTATGTACATTTATGTACGGTTTATAATATTCCTAATCCTTTCTGTATTAAAAATGATTAAAAGTTTTATTTTAAGTTTGTCATTAGCGGTTCACTTTACACAAAGATACGTGAGTTTTACTTTAACTTGCTAATTGCTGTAAAAATGTATTTCAAAAAATAAAATATTTCATTTTACTGTACATAGTAATCATGTTTGGACGACCTGTAAATCTGCAAAATACTCACATGTTCCAACTTTGCAAAAACACTGTTTCCTTGAGCAAGCCTCCACCTGACCACTTGGACAGCTGACCTTCCCGCTACATTGGCCATCGTACGTACAACTGTAGCAGGCGGCTGTATACAACAGGTAGGAAATGTTTAAAAGAAATCGACAAATAACAATGATTATCCAAAATTTTTGTTTGCTAGGAGGAGTAAAAATTTCTTCTCGACCGATAGCACACGTAATGGGCTCTTTACATTGATCAAATAAATGAAGTAATCCCTGGTAAAAATGGTATATATCGATGGCCTTTTTCTTGAGAACCATTGGGCCAATAATAGCCAAAGTTGGCACAAGGCATCCTTGGGTGTAGGAAAGTCAGAATTGTTGAAATAAAGGGCTAAGCCCCTTTATAAGGATAGACAATCAAGAAAAGGCAAAATAAGGGATCAAAATCTTCCATGGGAAAAGTTATATAGAAAAAAAAAATCAGTACTACTCATAACTTTATCTCTCCGGTAAGTCAATATTTTTTTTTCGGAGTGCTACAGTTCTGCAGCTACCACTAGGTCATAAAAAGGGGGAGGGTGAAGGCCACCTGTAACAGTGTAGATTCTACATTATTGAAGATAAAAATTATCATTATTAATGATAGGACGGGGTTATAAATGAAGATAAATTGAGGTTAAACATATGGATATGCATGACCGCAATTAGTAATGTTAATATGCAAGCATCCTCAGATAGTGTATATTCAAATTTTAAATAGGAACCAATGCCCAGAGACTTGGATGGGCCAAAATTTATATAACACTTTATATGTTAATATTTAATTTTTTTATAAATAAAATTTTCTATGAAACAACAATAGACACTCTCATCTGCAAACATTCTCAAGTTGTGTGGATTTTCAAATTATGGATTCTGGGTTGGGGTTGGGTTAAGATGGGAGATCAAATTTTATATAATGCATGTATAAAGAGAAAAAATTCTTCTCCAAAACATCATGACCATGTAAGTCATATTGAAGTTAACGCATCTCATGTCCTGTGGATTCTGAAACCCTTAAGAGTAAGATCGGAGCTAAAATATTGGGTCACACTTTTTCCCATTATGGGGATAAAGAGAAGGAAAATCTTTTCAAAATCTTTTCAAGAACAACAGCTCCAATGTTAATCAAGTGAGGGTTATGGCCAATGGGTCTCTTGTTTTGCTAAATAACAAGATATTTCAAAGACACCTTTTAATTTGGAAGCAGAAGCAATACCCTAATCTAGACCGAGGCAATTAAACCCGAACCACCAGAAAGAATTTTCAGTTAATTTTTTTTTTCATTTTTTGTACCAATTCTTCATCCGAAGATGTCATTAGTTGTAAAGCATTATTCACTAAATCATTTTTATATATCAAATCATTATGTTATCCATGCTCGAAATTTGCTTTTGTGATCACAGAAATAAAACTTATCTCATCTGTAACGAACAGGCCAAGATCACAGAAATAAAACTTATCTCACCTGTAACGAACAGGCCAAGATCACAGAAATAAAACTTATCTCACCTGTAACGAACAGGCCAAGATCACAGAAATAAAACTTATCTCACCTGTAACGAACAGGCCAAACAAGATGAATTGTTTTACAAGTATATTCATACTGTTTTCCCTTTGTGTCGCTTCCCTCTAACTGTATTTGTCCTGGCTGGATGCCTTCATACGTCTATATATATATATATATAACTATCAGGATAAATCTTTTACATACGTGGACATACGTGTAAATGTGCCTGGTATAATATAACATAAAACATGATTTTATCCTATTCTAAAATAACAGGATTTTATAAGTAAACAGATCTATTTTATCATTGGGTACACGATGCATGCATCCTGGATCTTAAAACATATGTTAACTTTGTAACACGGTGATTCATGTGGTCAACTTTTGCCTATAAATATGTACTGGTCATATAACTTTTTTCCCTGAGAAAAGTGAAATTATTATCTGTGCTGAATTTTTTAAACTGTTAAAAAGGTCAATAGTTGTCCATGCACCCCTACTAATGTGTTCGGAACCTTTATTTTTTGGTGTCCTGAAAATTATAATGCCCGAGGAGTTTGCAGTAGCGCAGGCGAGATTGAGTGAGACTACTGTATAATACAATGTAGTATCAGTGAAAATATACTTAATTGAAATATATGATGATAACGAACAGTATTCAAGCTCAAAAGTCCTTTAAACAATACAAAATAGGAGCAGAGCAAACACGGACCTCCAAACATCAGAGGTGGGATCAGGTGCCATGGAGGAGTGAGCATCCCCTGCCGACCGGTCACATTCGCCGTGTGCTCCTTGTCATGATCGGGAAATAACGGAAAAATCCGTCGACAATTCACTGTGTAAATAATGGCCTAACAATTAGTATGATAAACGTCAAAAATAATCTCAAGAATTAATTTAAATGTTTTAATTAGTACTCTTAATGACACTATTTCCTGCAGTTATGTTTCAAAATTTCTTTTTGAACAAAAATGCATGCATATACTTTCTGGCGTCAGCCTTAATTTACATGCTGAATGAGGTTCGTTTGTTTGCTTGTTAAAAATCCCTTCGAGAATTTTGCACTCATATTGAGAACAACCACTTGGCCGGTGAAGGGCTGCAAATTTAGACCTGCATTTGGCACTTACAGCCTTTGATTAGTGAAAGATTATTTGTGTACCACACGTCCTGCGACACTGGACCTGGTTTATACGGTCTCATTTGATTGACCAGTCTCCACGTCACACAGTGGATTCAAACTGCTACATAAGGAACAACTCTTTACTCCCCGACTCTCGAGCCAACGCTCTAATCAATGCGCCACTCCGGCGACCCTAAAGGGGTACCAACGTGACTTAAAACTGTCCGTCAAATCAGCTGACTGAAGAGAATTACATTAAGGGTTACTACGAATCCTACAGGAATTTTACATTTGGAAAAGACCAAATCTACTCGCACTCGTAAAAAACACAATCATATTTTTTCCAGGCATTTCACAAATAATAATATGTCCATTATGTTCTGTTATTCCAATTCTCATATTTACAAACACTTGTTAAATAAAGATAGAATTCTAGGCATTCCTTTGCTGTACTTTAGGTCAATACAAATGTCAAGTGGATTCCCTGGCCAAAGATATGACATACGTGTTCACGCTTAATTTTATTTCAAAAAAAATTTAAAATGAAGAAAGAAAAGATAAACACAAACCCACGCAAAATATTTTTCGGCCATTTTAAATGCATAAGAGATGATGCTCGTTCTCATCCTGAAAGAGTTTACGTTCTTTGCAAAACATTCTGAATTTACTCTTTTGAAATAGAAGTAGGCATTGCATGATTGGCAACAGTAATTTTCATTCTTAATGTCAAGGAAAAAGATAATAACCTTGACCTGAGCTTGCTTCTAAAATAAAATGTTCATATTTAATCTAATTAATACCATCACTCATTGATGATGTCTTCTTGAATATATGAATATTTCATTAATTTTTAGATACAAGAAATATTCTTGAAGAAGAAGAATCCCTCCTTAATTGAAAGAATATGATATAATAGCGAGCGCAACGAACGGCGCAAAGCGCCGCTTGCACTGCGAAGTCTAACAACAACGCCTGGACGAAGAGAAAATTCGGACACATTGATCCAAATTAATTTTTTTCAGCAGTCCTCAAGGTTGACAATGCAACTCGAATGCTTCTAACTTCGTTCTCGCGTTCACAACAATTAAATATTCACAAAAATTAAACGCCATGATTTAATGGATATTGCATACAGATGGTAGATTAATAAAACGTTCTTTGTTTAAATAACGGTGATTGTGACCATTTCGGCGAGGGCAGTTGTTCCACCAGAAACCTTTACACAGCTTGTAAACACTTGTAAATTTGATCTGCCTCTTCAAACTTCAACTGTTCAAGACACAGTCGTATGTAAGCTGCATTTCAGTTACGGATTCTAAATAGGCCAAGTGCATTCTTTTTTAGCGAAAGACATTGTAGAGTAGATGCAATTATTTTGTGTTGCTTTTATGTTACTGCAAGAACTAAATCTTCGCGATAACTACGGGTCTGTTACATTCGCCATTTTCACATGGAATGCTTGAAGAGAAGGTATTCTGGGCAGGTTTCACATAAAAAGTTGCTTGGCGAACATAAATTTTAAGTCGAATTTTCTCTGTCCTTACACGTAAGTGTATTGAGCTACCTTCGCGCCGCTAGCTGCGCTCGCTATTATGTTTTACCATGTGACCGTTGGGGCAAGCGCAGTAGTACCATCATTCAAAAACTTTCACACAGCTCATTCTTCTAAATTTTGATCCGCCTCTTCAAACTTCAAAGAGTCTATTTTACACGTGCTATACTTGTAGGTATACGTCGGGATTTCATGATGTCAAAGAACACAATAATTGATGACGTAATTAGTACAAGTTCGTGTGTGACGTGTAACTAAACTCTCTGAAAATATAATTATGTAAAGGAGATGGGTGAACAAGGCGTGCAGAATGTCTATAGCTTCAAATATCTAAAAATCATATTCATTTTATGAATTTAGTATTTAGAGTAAAGTTCTCATTATTGAAATTTATGAAATTATGACAAAACTTTTCTGGGGAAAAAATCTCGACAAAAATTATTCTATTATAAAATAAAAACATTCTCTATCCACACTTGTCTTTTTATGCTCTCAACACCTCTGTCAATGCTCTTTGTAGAAGATTATTGTACAAGTTTTGAACGGTGAAAATTAAATTTGAAATTAAAAGAATTATTAGTTATTGTAATTGTCGTTAAAATGATAATTCATCATTTACTCTAAATCCATCATCCCTCAAAACGATTTATTTTCAAAACTTTTAGATTACTATTTGGCGGAGTAAAAATGTCATTAAAAATCCTTTTAAGGGGTAATAGATTAAATTAAACTTTTAAATTAACACTTTAGTGACGTCATTCTTTTGTTTGAGAGCTCCATTACTTTTCAGGAAATGGAGAGTTTCAATTAACATTGAAAACGGTGAACAAATTCTTCTTCCCGGGCCTCTACTCGAGCAAGAACTTGTATAAAATTTTATAAAGTTATATTTTCATACTTAGAAAAAGTGTAGCACTCCTGGGGGTCAAACTCGGTGCCTTTCCTTGCGTAGTCAGACACTCATTTTACTATGCTATCGATGCTGTTGAAGGAATGGTGGTTTAAATAACTACATAACACTTTCTACGCCGTAAAATGTAAGAGGAGTTTAGGGAACCACATTTATTTTTAAAGAAAAAGTTTTTTGACCCCAACTGCACATCTACAGTACACAACGTATCATATTCCAAAAAGATGATTTGGCGTAAAATGAAAGAAGGGTTCTGGCGACCAGGTTTTGTGAAAAAAGTATTTGGCTCCAGGATGAAAATGAAAATTCTGAAATTTTATTGCATTTGACACCACCTTTCATATTCCCAAAGATGAATTGGTTACTGTTTAGGAGGAAGAAAGTGTGACAGACGTACGATCATCCCTTATTTATGTATCTATATTCCACCATCACCTACATATGGTGTTTATGTCTCCCAACTGATTCAATACGCAATTTTAAGATCTTGCTCTGAGTAATCTTTAAACCGAGGCAAGTTACTGACAAATAAGTTGATGTTACGAAGAATTTCAACAACCCCGTTTAGAGTCAGTTTTTCGCTCTTGTCTGGCATGTTTCAAACTATTTGTCAAGCCATTGTTTTCATACTAAATTTGACCACGTGGTACTGCTTTTTCTTGATCAATAAATAGGGCTAACTGCGAGTGTGATCGGTCAACATCAGATAATCATTCCTCCTAGGCCCTGATCCCCCCCCCCCACCCCTTGGTGTTTCCTTTCCAGGGGTCTGTGTTTAAGCCCTGTTCGCGATTCGTTTTGCTTTCTGAATTTATAAGATTGATCACTGTTCTTCACCTTTTACATTTCTGACAACATACCCATATACATGTCCATTCTCTGAGACTACTTTCCCTTCAAATAATTTTGTATTTGTAGCTAAACGTAATACTGATTTTCTGCTGCTTGCAATGATAATTGATCTATATATTTTCAAATACTATGCATATACATACATATCAAAGAATAAAAGTGTGACTAACGGGTGGACGGGCGGAAGGATGGATGAAAAGAGAGATAGCAAAATGTCAAGTAAGTGTCTCAGACATATATATTGGCCACACAAATGGCTTGAAAATATTACATATTAAAACGCATTGTAGGTGGCCTTTATTAGTTGAGCTGTATATTTAAGATTTACCGTTAGTAAAATTGTACATCACGCGTGCTCCGTAATTTAATGACATGGTGGGTCCTCTGTCAGATCGCATGTTTGGTTCTTTATAATTTGAGGTGTATTTCAGATCTGATGGAAGTTAAATAGTAGCTCAAGCGGAAGGTATCGACACACATCAGAATAAAATGTAAACTCTACTATTATCTCAGACAAAGACGGAGTTATGAATGGCAAATAAATAATACAACTCTTGTATGCAAAGTGTTCTTGATTGTTCAGTATTTATTTATTATTATACTTTCATGTAAATCTGATTCGTCCAGAAACATTTGTTAAAAAACACTAGTACCCGCTGAATAATGAAGCCA